AGACTATAGACTAGACTATAGACTAGACTATAGACTAGACTATAGACTAGACTATAGACTAGACTATAGACTAGACTATAGACTAGACTAGACTATAGACTAGACTATAGACTAGACTAGACTACTAGACTATAGACAACTATAGACTAGACTATAGACTAGACTATTGACTAGACTGTAGACTAGACTATAGACTAGACTATAGACTAGACTATAGACTAGACTATAGACTAGACTATAGCCTAGACTATAGACTAGAACTATAGACCTAGACTATAGACTTAGACTATAGACTAGACTATAGACTAGACTAATAGACTAGACTATAGACTTAGACTATGGACTAGACTATAGACTAGACTATAGACTAGAACTATGAGACTAGACTATAGACTAGACTATAGACAGAACTATAGACGAACTAAGACTAGATAGAGACTAATATAGACGAGACTATAGACTAGACTATTAGACGAGACCTATAGACTAGACTATAGACTAGACTATAGACGTAGAACTATAGACTACAGACCATAAGACGAGACCTATAGACGAGACATAGGACTGACTATAGACCATAGACTATATAGACTAGACTATAGACTAGACTATAGACTAGACTATAGACTAGACTATAGACTAGACTATAGACTAGACTATAGACTAGACTATAGACTAGACTATAGACTAGACTATAGACTAGACTATAGACTAGACTATAGACTAGACTATAGACTAGACTATAGACTAGACTATAGACTAGACTATAGACTAGACTATAGACTAGACTATAGACTAGACTATAGACTAGACTATAGACTAGACTATAGACTAGACTATAGACTAGACTATAGACTAGACTATAGACTAGACTATAGACTAGACTATAGACTAGACTATAGACTAGACTATAGACTAGACTATAGACTAGACTATAGACTAGACTATAGACTAGACTATAGACTAGACTATAGACTAGACTATAGACTAGACTATAGACTAGACTATAGACTAGACTATAGACTAGACTATAGACTAGACTATAGACTAGACTATAGACTAGACTATAGACTAGACTATAGACTAGACTAGACTAGACTAGACTATAGACTAGACTATAGACTAGACTATAGACTAGACTATAGACTAGACTATAGACTAGACTATAGACTAGACTATAGACTAGACTATAGACTAGACTATAGACTAGACTATAGACTAGACTATAGACTAGACTATAGACTAGACTATAGACTAGACTATAGACTAGACTATAGACTAGACTATAGACTAGACTATAGACTAGACTATAGACTAGACTATAGACTAGACTATAGACTAGACTATAGACTAGACTATAGACTAGACTATAGACTAGATAGACTAGACTATAGACTAGACTATAGACTAGACTATAGACTAGACTATAGACTAGACTATAGACTAGACTATAGACTAGACTATAGACTAGACTATAGACTAGACTATAGACTAGACTATAGACTAGACTATAGACTAGACTATAGACTAGACTATAGACTAGACTACAGACTATAGACTAGACTATAGACTAGACTATAGACTAGACTATAGACTAGACTATAGACTAGACTATAGACTAGACTAGACTATAGACTAGACTATAGACTAGACTATAGACTAGACTATAGACTAGACTAGACTAGACTATAGACTAGACTATAGACTAGACTATAGACTAGACTATAGACTAGACTATAGACTAGACTATAGACTAGACTATAGACTAGACTATAAACTGGACTATAGACTAGAATATAGACTAGACTATAGATTAGACTATAGACTAGACTATAGAGTAGACTATAGACTAGACTATAGACTAGAATATAGACTAGAATATAGACTAGACTATAGACTAGAATATAGACTAGACTATAGATTAGACTATATACTAGACTATAGATTAGACTATAGACTAGACTATAGACTACACTGTAGACTAGACTATAGACTAGATTATAAACTAGACTATAGACTAGACTACAGACTAGACTGTAGAGAAGACTATAGACTAGACCATAAAATAGACTAGACGGTGTACTAGACCATAGACCAGACTGTAGATTGTGACTACAGAATAACTAAGCAACGTTTATACTTCCTTGGTTTTAGGCTACAGTTTATAATATGACCACAATTTCTACAACCACAGCCATTATATATTAATTTTTAGGAAAACAATTTTCATTTCAACCCTAAAATAGTCAACATTTTGCAAAGAATCTTTCTTCTGCAAACTTATTACAAAACTTTACTAAAGGTTTTCGTTATTTTGCCGAAGAAAATATATTCTGATGAAAAATAGTTGACTCTTTTTATGGAAGTTTGTGCTGTTAATAAAATAAATGAATGAATGCTGGAAAAACTATAAATTTTTTTTTGTTAAACTGGAAAAACTATAAATTTTTTTTTGTTAAACTGTTTTGTGGAGAAATTTTATGTTGCGTAAGTTAAAAGATCATTGAAACTATAAGTTGAGTATTATTTTCAGATTGCTCTTGTTTTGTTTTTCTAAAAGAGAAAAAGAAAAATATATTTTTGTCCTTTTTTTCGCTTCGCAATTTTAATGTAATAATAGAACTTTATGACTCAAAGTTTTTCAAAAGAAATATGTTGAGCAGTAACAAAAAAAATTATGAAAAAATAACTTTGTTGGAAATATACCCATTTTATTTAAGAAATTTAAGAGAAACATAAAAATAGAAAAAACACAGTATAAATGAATAAAATATAGAATTTCATAAACTCCTAAAAGTATGCTTCAAAAAGTAAACTTCATTATAACTACAGTAAGTATGTAATAAATCTGCATTAAATTGAGAGCACATTTATATGTGCTTATGTTCATTTTAATGTTAAAGCATACTTTAAGGGTTATTTATCAACATGTTCATATTTTTCATTAAATAATAAATTTATTTGTGAATACAACACTTAATTAAACTTGACCAATTACCGGGTTAATTTTTTATATTGCAAAATTAAAAGGCAAATTATTTATAAATCGAGATGACAGCGTGAAAAAAGAGTTGACCATTAATTTTACAAAAAAAGATTTTATGCGGTTTTAACTGTTGATTACTTTACTCCGGTAGTTTGCCACTATTCATGCACTGCTCTCGCAATGACACAAACGCTTTGGTTATTTATATTGGAAAAAAGCAGGAGACCAACGAAAAAAGGTAAATATGAGCAACAAATTGAAAAATTGTGCAAATAATTTTTCATTGTAAAATAATATGAAAGGCGACGCACGTTTCCATTTCATTGTTTTTTTATTATGATTTTTTCTGTTTTCTTTGTTTTTGTTTTTTTATTATAAAATATTCCAAGCCATGCAAACAAAATGTGTCAATACAATGATTTATAATGGTTTATGCCAATACCGATCAAATGACTTGTGTGCTGTGAATATCATCCATGTTTGCCTGTGTAAATAGTGAAGCGGGTGGTTCTTTCAAAGGAACGGTAGAGGGGAATTTATAGACCTAACACTGAGCACTGGTACACCTTTTTGTACCAGTCGTAGTCTAGTCATAGTCTATAGTGGAGTCTATAGTCTAGTCTATAGTCTAGTCTATAGTCTAGTCTAGTCTGTCTAGTCTATAGTCTAGTCTATAGTCTAGTCTATAGTCTAGTCTATAGTCTAGTCTATAGTCTAGTCTATAGTCTAGTCTATAGTCTAGTCTATAGTCTAGTCTATAGTCTAGTCTATAGTCTAGTCTATAGTCTAGTCTATAGTCTAGTCTATAGTCTAGTCTATAGTCTAGTCTATAGTCTAGTCTATAGTCTAGTCTATAGTCTAGTCTATAGTCTAGTCTATAGTCTAGTCTATAGTCTAGTCTATAGTCTAGTCTATAGTCTAGTCTATAGTCTAGTCTATAGTCTAGTCTATAGTCTAGTCTATAGTCTAGTCTATAGTCTAGTCTAGTCTAGTCTATAGTCTATAGTCTAGTCTATAGTCTAGTCTATAGTCTAGTCTATAGTCTAGTCTATAGTCTAGTCTATAGTCTAGTCTATAGTCTAGTCTATAGTCTAGTCTATAGTCTAGTCTATAGTCTAGTCTATAGTCTAGTCTATAGTCTAGTCTATAGTCTAGTCTATAGTCTAGTCTATAGTCTAGTCTATAGTCTAGTCTATAGTCTAGTCTATAGTCTAGTCTATAGTCTAGTCTATAGTCTAGTCTATAGTCTAGTCTATAGTCTAGTCTATAGTCTAGTCTATAGTCTAGTCTATAGTCTAGTCTATAGTCTAGTCTATAGTCTAGTCTATAGTCTAGTCATAGTCTAGTCATAGTCTAGTCATGGTCTAGTCATAGTCTAGTCATAGTCTAGTCATAGTCTAGTCATAGTCTAGTCATAGTCTAGTCATAGTCTAGTCATAGTCTAGTCATAGTCTAGTCATAGTCTAGTCATAGTCTAGTCATAGTCTAGTCATAGTCTAGTCATAGTCTAGTCATAGTCTAGTCATAGTCATAGTCTAGTCATGGTCTAGTCATAGTCTAGTCATAGTCTAGTCATAGTCTAGTCATAGTCTAGTCATAGTCTAGTCATAGTCTAGTCATAGTCTAGTCATAGTCTAGTCATAGTCTAGTCATAGTCTAGTCATAGTCTAGTCATGGTCTAATCATAGTCTAGTCATAGTCTAGAGAAATTGGTTGCCGTTTTGCCCCTTTAAATTCGTTTATGTTTAGTTTTTTTTTGCAAATATTTATCTCAATCTAACAATTTGCTTACAACTAATTTTCGATTTTCAATTTGTAACATTTTGCCACTATTTAACCATTGAAGGTTTAGACTAACACAAGCTAAATATCTGCTTTCGTTTAAGATTATCGCAAACAAATTGCATTAAAAGTTTTGCTCTTTATAAAACTTATTTTTCCTTCACTTTCAAATACCTTTTCAATGTAGAGTAAATTGTAACAATATATAAGTACAAAAACACAATCTTAATTTCTAGGTACTTGGTAAAAGATTAAACTGCAAAGTATTTTTGATAAATAGAAAAAATAAAAAAAACTAAGTGACTTGCTTTGCAAACTTACCGTCATGTATTCATCTAAACGATGTTTCCAATTGTCAGATTTATCGATTAGATTATTCCATTGCTCTGAAAGTTTAGCAACTTCACGTCTTATACTGCGTGTCAACTCACGACTTTGTTCTTCGGCAGTTAGATAACGTGAATCTGAATCATGGGCTAAAAAAATAAAACAGAAGAATAAAGACAAAAGCAGAAATATTAGAGTGATTTTGAATACAATTTGAAATAAATTTAGACATAAAGTAAGTAGATAAAATTGTAAAGATTGGCACGCTGTCTTTTAGTTTTTAGCTGTTTTTAGTCGTTTTGATTTTTATTTTATGTAGTGAATATGTGATGGCTGTAAGCTGTGCTATATGACAGTTACATTTACAATGTAAAAAGGAAATACATAAATAATAAATTAAGAATACGTTTTTGAGAGGTTGATAGAAAAATTGAAAAATTATTCAATATTAAACAATGATTTTTAAGCTCTAAGGAAATTTATAGTATGTTTTAAGGCTTTGAATTGTTTAAATTTTTAAGTAAATTAACTACCTACTTTAAGGCTGCTGGAATATTTATATGTTTGCCTTAATTATTTCAGTAAAGCATTTTTTTTCTTAAATTTCAAGAAAATCTCTTAAAATTTGTTTTATAGCTTAATTTCAATTTAATGTCTTTTCACTTTTTATTTAAGAAATAAATTTAATTTTCAAGTTTTATTCTTTCTTCATGCTCTAATTCTGCTATTTTATGCAATAAACTTAATATTGTTGCATTTCATTTCTTTTCTTTTCGTTTACACTTTCTCAAATTTATCTTCAAATTCAATTCAATTTTTTCTATATATATACGTTTCCGTTTCAATTCATGTTGATTTTTTTCTTCGAAAATTGTTTTTCCGGTCTTATGTGCAGTTGTGTTGAATAGTGATGAAAGAGAGCTGGAGTATGAAAAAACAATAACAAATATTTAAAATGAAAACTATTGATGTTGAAGACAGAGGAACAGCTTGAAAGAATTGATGACAAATGTGAAAAATTTCTAACATGAAGAAAAGGAAAGTTTTTCCGAAAAACAACAACAACAAACATTTGCAAAATTGATTATTTTAAATCAAACGTTAAATCATCATCACAATTGGAGAAGGAAAAAGAAAGATAGAAAAGTTTTTCGCTTGCTTTAGCTAAAAAATATTTTTCTTAGTTTTTCATTGTTGACAAACTATGAAAATATGCAAATCAAGTTGAAAAAGCATATAAAAATGTTTAGTTTTTAAAGCATACTTTAAGGCAAAAGTAAAAATTTAAATTAAATAGCCTACTTTTAGGAGTGCTATAAACTTAGTTTTATTACTCAAACAGGTATATATTTAACCTTTAGCCACATTTTTCACCTTTTCTCTAACAAACCAACAAAAACCAATTGAAAAAATTATTGTTCAAATAAATTTTCTCTTGCAGCGCGTAAAACGAGTTATTGTATGTGTTTTTTATAACAAACCATATAAATGGTTTTAATATTAAAGTAAATATATAATAAACTATATTTCTTTTTATCGTTTTATCAAAAGAGCAGGCAACAAAAAATAAAACAATATACATACATTCATACATATAAAAAACCATAAAAAGAAAAACATACCAGAGACAAAATAAACAAAAAAGAAAACTTGCAATAAAATGGGGTAAAAATACATAACAAATATAACAAAAATTTTTTGGTTACTACTTGAATTGCAACAATAAATCCCTCGATATTTAACGGTCCTGTTAGAGTATTTGCGCTGCAACAAACACATAAACACGTTTAACAACACACATTTAACTCGGGCCATAATACAGACTATTCAAAATCAATTGGGTAAAGAAAAGCAGTAAACGGAAAATAGCAAATAATATTGCGGAAATGTTGGTTTGTTACTAGCCAAGGATTTTTTAAAGCTGCTTGAGAATTTTCTTTTTAAATTTATTTTAGATTAAATTTGGGTTTAATGATACAACTCTTTAGTCTATTTTTATACCCTTCACCTTCATGGGAAGTTGTATAATTTGCCGACCCAATAAAGTATATGCATGTGTATAATCCGAGTCCTTATAGATAGCAAAGTCGATTAAGCCGTCTGTATGTTTAATGGAATCGACTTTCTGAAGCCCCCAGATATCATCATCTTTAACTGTTAAGTCTGATATGCATTCGAGAAGTTTCCCACTTAAAATCAGCAAAATCAGTAGTATAAATAACGGAGACATGAGCAATAATCCGAGGAAACCTCTGAAAATTACACACATAGACTAGAGAAGATTATTTGCTAGACTACACCCTAGACTATAGACTAGACTATAGACTAGACTATAGACTAGACTATAGACTAGACTATAGACTAGACTATAGACTAGATATAGACTAGACTATAGACTAGACTATAGACTAGACTATAGACTAGACTATAGACTAGACTATAGACTAGACTATAGACTAGACTATAGACTAGACTATAGACTAGACTATAGACTAGACTATAGACTAGACTATAGACTAGATATAGACTAGACTATAGACTAGACTATAGACTAGACTATAGACTAGACTATAGACTAGACTATAGACTAGACTATAGACTAGACTATAGACTAGACTATAGACTAGACTAGACTAGACTAGACTATAGACTAGACTATAGACTAGACTATAGACTAGACTATAGGACTAGACTATAGACTAGACTATAGACTAGACTATAGACTAGGACTGCTAGACTACACTATAGACTAGACTATAGACTAGACTATAGACTAGACTATTAGACTAGACTATAGACTAGACTGTAGGACTACACTATAGACTAGACTATAGACTAGACTATAGACTAGACTATAGACTAGACTATAGACTAGACTATAGACTAGACTATAAACGAGAAGTAGTTTTTTCATACTTTTTTAAATGTTTTATTCTTCGTCCAAAGCGATTATAAGGAAAATTCTATATGTAGCAGTGTAGTTGTAGTAGCAAGTAAAGTACATTTCTCTATGTCTATCTATAACTGCAAAAATATAGTGGTATTTGTTACTTACCTTCGGTATCACTGGTATCCGATACAGGTGGTTCACTGGCAATATATTGTCTGCCACTTTGTAAAGTACTTTCAACAATTGGACGTTTATCCTCCAATTGACGACGGAAAGCTTTATGATCATCCTAAAATGATAAAAAAAGTAAAAAAACAAAGTAAGTAGTAAATAGTTATAAATTATTTTGTATTGAATGGAGAGGGTAATAAAAATATAACAAAGTTGAATAAATTTAAAGGGTAATAAGGAAAAGTTAAAGATTAAAAACGATGATTACGCTTTTTAAGACCACGATGCAGAAATCATTGAAAACTATCCTATAAAGTTAAAATAAATATATTCTGTTTCTTTAAGAAGGCATAAATATATAAATTGAAAAAGTGTGACAGTATTGAGAGTGTTTTTGTCTTTAATTTATAGCTTTTTGAACTGCCGTATGTTCAATAAACCATTAAAATGTTTTATTGTTTTTGTAATGTTTAAAAATTCTTTGCAAGAAATATTATTTATGTCATGGACCGAAATATACTCTTATCAGTTGAACTTGTATATGTTGGTCAGCATAAGTTCATTATAATCACAGACACTCAATTCATAAGTAATTGTTTAATGATCCTTAACACCATTACAAACATACAAACACGTGAAGAAAATCACAAAATATATCCTTAGACATATATTAGCACGAAACAGCATACATACAAATCATGTGTTTTTTGAGAGAAATAAAGTAAATTTCTAATAAAAATAGTCAAAGCACGCACACACTTAAATTTGCCAAAGATTTAATAAACAACCAAACAATTCAGAAAAAAATGACACTAACTGAATGAATGAACGGATACACAAGGAAATCTATACATACACCCACATCTCTATAGAGGAGGAGAGGAAAGCGTTAAAATAAAGCAAAAGAAATTCTATATAGTGTTTCGTTATACACACAAGCTCTCCCTCTAATATATTTACTTCATCATGTGAACACAACAGTGTATAAAAGCAAAATATATTGACTGACATTTCAAAAGTTTGAAAAAAAAAAACGAGAAAATCTATAAAAATAGACGTGTTACAGAAAAATCACTTAACAGATGAAAGTTTTCCAGTTAGTGTTGCTGTTTTAGATCCTGCAAACAACAACTATTATAATAAAAATGGTAGTAGAGAAAAAAATATTGAACAGGCATCAAATGTGGCCACTTAAATAATAACTATTACACTACACATTACAACAACAATCAAATTGACTGCAACAACAACATATCAGACAAACACTTAAGTAAAATAACAGACCAAACAGAAGGGGGTCCCCCTTAAACAACAACAAAGAAAGAAAGAGAGTGTAAAAAAATCCTGTTGTAAAAATGTTTGGACTAATAGTGTGTAAAAATTGATGAAGTAAAAAATCAAATGAAAGGTATCGGGTCAAGCTGTTTGTGAACGAGGGTTGTTCGACAGTAGCCAAGATTATAACACAGACTAATACTAGACCACAAACTAGACTATGACTAGACTACAGACTAAAATACAGACTAGTCATAGTCTAGAGTACAGACTAGATAGACAACAGACCAAACTACAGACTAGACTACAACCAGACTACAGACTAGACTAGAAACTAGACTTCAGACAAGACTACAGACAAGACTATGACTAGACTATGATTAGACTATGACTAGACTATGACTAGACTATGACTAGACTATGACTAGACTATGACTAGACTATGACTAGACTATGACTAGACTATGACTAGACTATGACTAGACTATGACTAGACTATGACTAGACTATGACTAGACTATGACTAGACTATGACTAGACTATGACTAGACTATGACTAGACTATGACTAGACTATGACTAGACTATGACTAGACTATGACTAGACTATGACTAGACTATGACTAGACTATGACTAGACTATGACTAGACTATGACTAGACTATGACTAGACTATGACTAGACTATGACTAGACTATGACTAGACTATGACTAGACTATGACTAGACTATGACTAGACTATGACTAGACTATGACTAGACTATGACTAGACTATGACTAGACTATGACTAGACTATGACTAGACTATGACTAGACTATGACTAGACTATGACTAGACTATGACTAGACTATGACTAGACTATGACTAGACTATGACTAGACTATGACTAGACTATGACTAGACTATGACTAGACTATGACTAGACTATGACTAGACTATGACTAGACTATGACTAGACTATGACTAGACTATGACTAGACTATGACTAGACTATGACTAGACTATGACTAGACTATGACTAGACTATGACTAGACTATGACTAGACTATGACTAGACTATGACTAGACTATGACTAGACTATGACTAGACTATGACTAGACTATGACTAGACTATGACTAGACTATGACTAGGACTATGACTAGACTATGACTAGACTATGACTAGACTATGACTAGACTATGACTAGACTATGACGACTATGACTAGACTATGACTAGACTATGACTAGACTATGACTAGAGTACTACTAGACCATTACTAGACCAAACAACCCTCCTAGACTTGCCCTTCATATGTGTAAATGGATTTCTCCCACAACAATTTAAGTATAACTTAGGGTTGACTTTCAAAGTCATTTACTTTGTCTGTACAGACCTTTAAAAATTGATTACAAGAAAAAGGAAAAATCTCTGAAAAACCTTCAATCCTCCATCTATCACATGTGAAAAAAGAGGTGGTCAAATTTTTATGACCAACATTATTTTAGTAAAAAGTGTTTTTCTGTTAGACTTTAAGTAGTCAAGCTGGTAGCATGTATTTGCTATTATTGGTCGTTGTCGAGATCTCTTTAATTTTTTGTTTATTTTAATGTATTTTGGTTGAATTTGTTCGGATAAATAAGTACTAAGCGGCGTATACTTGTTGTGTTATTTTTGTAGGCAGGCATTTAGCAAGTATACGCCTAGCATGCCGTAGTAATAAAATGCCATTTATTTACTCGTTTATGATTCTGTTGGTTAAATTTTGTATATATTTTTTTAAATTCTTTTTGTGTGAGCATAAATATTGACTTTTTCATTGAAAAATTGATTTATTTAGAAAAGTCTTTAAGACAAGTTGTCTTTAAATATAATATGATAAGGGAAATAGAGAGAGAGAGAGCTCTAAATTCAACATATTGAAAAGATTATGAAAATTTAATTTAAAAAATAAAACTATTAAATGAATAAATTGTTTGTAAAATTTTAGAAAAAATTTAAATATTTAATTTTATTTTTTATTATTTTAATTATAAAAGTAAATGTTGCGTAACATTCTTTGAGTTTAATATTAAATTATAAATTGCTTAGTATTTCTTTAAGAAAAGAAGAAATAAATTTAATTTATTATCTTTACCTTTTTTGACTTACATTTCAAAAAACAAAAAAACTTCTTTATACAACATTAAATCAATATTTAGAAAAGTGTAGGTTGTTTTTAGATAATCAAACGTCCGTCTGTCTATTTGCTTCAGCATGCATGTACGTGATTTGTTAGACATGGACAATTATTTGAATTTAGATAATAAATTTTAATTCAATTTTATTTGCAAGTACAAACACAAATATAGGAAAATAAATGTGTAAATACACATACACATACGTATGTATGTGCATAAGTATATCATACGCAAACACATATTTTATATAAATTGTATGTTGTTTCTATAAAATAAACATAATTAATGTTACTCATACGCAACCGTAACAAAATTGAAAATAAAAGCAAAAAACTACAAGAGAATTGAAAAATACACATACCCACACACATACAAAGACACGAACGTGTATGAAAATTAATTATAGCCTACCAATACAAAGATATGAACACATATACGGCAATTTTATTTCTTTATATACTGACCCACACTCATGTATGTGTGCACGTATACATAACCTATTTAATACAACAATATCTCTATATATTTACACACATTGTAGAAATTCCATTAAAAGAAATCATGTACATGAACATATACATATTTTGTATAACATTTATGTGAATGTATACGAGCATATGTATGTGTTGTATGACTTTAAAGAATTTTTTATTCATTTTTATTAACATCAAATATTTTTATGATCACACTAGCAAGTAAGACCACAGATAATGTTTTAAAATAAATTGAAATTGTAAAAAACTTAGCAGAGATGGGAAACAATTTGCTAAATAACAAAAGTCAAAGTCTATAGTCTAGTCTATAGTCTAGTCTATAGTCTAGTCTATAGTCTATAGTCTAGTCTATAGTCTAGTCTATAGTCTAGTCTATATTATAGTCTAGTCTAGTCTAGTCTATAGTCTAGTCTATAGTCTAGTCTATAGTCTAGTCTATAGTCTAGTCTATAGTCTAGTCTATAGTCTAGTCTATAGTCTAGTCTATAGTCTAGTCTATAGTCTAGTCTATAGTCTAGTCTATAGTCTAGTCTATAGTCTAGTCTATAGTCTAGTCTATAGTCTAGTCTATAGTCTCTATATAGTCTAGTCTATAGTCTAGTCTATAGTCTAGTCTATAGTCTAGTCTATAGTCTAGTCTATAGTCTAGTCTATAGTCTAGTCTATAGTCTAGTCTATAGTCTAGTCTATAGTCTAGTCTATAGTCTAGTCTATAGTCTAGTCTATAGTCTAGTCTATAGTCTAGTCTATAGTCTAGTCTATAGTCTAGTCTATAGTCTAGTCTATAGTCTAGTCTATAGTCTAGTCTATAGTCTAGTCTATAGTCTAGTCTATAGTCTAGTTTATAGTCTAGTCTATAGTCTAGTCTATAGTCTAGTCTATAGTCTAGTCTATAGTCTAGTCTATAGTCTAGTCTATAGTCTAGTCTATAGTCTAGTCTATAGTCTAGTCTATAGTCTAGTCTATAGTCTAGTCTATAGTCTAGTCTATAGTCTAGTCTATAGTCTAGTCTATAGTCTAGTCTATAGTCTAGTCTATAGTCTAGTCTATAGTCTAGTCTATAGTCTAGTCTATAGTCTAGTCTATAGTCTAGTCTATAGTCTAGTCTATAGTCTAGTCTATAGTCTAGTCTATAGTCTAGTCTATAGTCTAGTCTATAGTCTAGTCTATAGTCTAGTCTATAGTCTAGTCTATAGTCTAGTCTATAGTCTAGTCTATAGTCTAGTCTATAGTCTAGTCTATAGTCTAGTCTATAGTCTAGTCTATAGTCTAGTCTATAGTCTAGTCTAGTCTATAGTCTAGTCTATAGTCTAGTCTATAGTCTAGTCTATAGTCTAGTCTATAGTCTAGTCTATAGTCTAGTCTATAGTCTAGTCTATAGTCTAGTCTATAGTCTAGTCTATAGTCTAGTCTATAGTCTAGTCTATAGTCTAGTCTATAGTCTAGTCTATAGTCTAGTCTATAGTCTAGTCTATAGTCTAGTCTATAGTCTAGTCTATAGTCTAGTCTATAGTCTAGTCTATAGTCTAGTCTATAGTCTAGTCTATAGTCTAGTCTATAGTCTAGTTATAGTCTAGTCTATAGTCTAGTCTATAGTCTAGTCTATAGTCTAGTCTATAGTCTAGTCTATAGTCTAGTCTATAGTCTAGTCTATAGTCTAGTCTATAGTCTAGTCTATAGTCTAGTCTATAGTCTAGTCTATAGTTTAGTCCATAGTCCAGTCTGTAGCCTAGTCTATAGTCTGGTCTGTAGTCTATCCTATAGCTTATAGTCTGATTATAGATAGGTTTATAGCAATTTTATTTTTGAATTATAAAATTGAAAGCTACTTACCAACTGCTTTTGCAGACTAGCCGAATCACCACGCACTGGGCCCATACCCAGGCTGGACAGCTCTGTGTCCTTACGTATGACCCATTCAGTTAATTCACGCAAAGACAACAGCAAAGCATTCCAATGCTCTGAATTATTCTCTAAACGATTTCTGTAAAGAAGAAAATAAAGCCAAAAAAACGTGATTAAAATATTTTGTAATGAAAAAAAAAAAGAATATTGCAAACTTTTATAATGCCTTAATAAAAACAGGACAAGAACAAAATTTTAATTAACACTTTATTAAAAATTAAAATGGACTCTAAACAAAAAACCAGAAAAAATGCCATAATTTTGTAACAATTTTTAATATTTTTATGAAAGAAAAAAAAAAAAACATTAAAATGTTTGGCTGTTAAAAGTCGTGTGAGTTTTAAAACATGAAAATTGTTTTTCCCAACAACATTTTTACATTTTCTTGATGTTGGTTTTTCTCTTTACTCTATGGTGGTTATTATATTACGCATTTTTAATGTTTTTTCTTTTATTTTATGGTTGTTTTTGCCATAATTTTCTTCCCTTTTTTTCTATAATAGGGGGTTTGTAAGCCATTTTTTTTTTGTAAACATTTTATAAGACAAACTTTTTTTTATGTTTTACTTTTTTGTTGTTTTTCTTTAGTCATTTTTATCTGGTCAAATTTTTAGTGTGTGAATGTTGGAAAGAAAATATTTTTAATTGAAATAGAAGATTAAAAGGAAAATATTGTGAAAATTTATAATTACCAGCAAGTTAATGGCAAAATTTATAGAATTTGGCAGTAAGAGGTCAAATAATGAGAAAATACCACAGAGACATTATTTGGTTAAAAGGGCAAGACATTAAATATGGAAAATAAAGGACAGTTTTTTGACACTCCATCATTAAAAAATTTAATTAAAGAAAATTAACAAAATTGGTTTAAAAGAAAAAATGTCTATATAACAATATTGTCAAGTTGATATAATAGACATTTTAGGCGTTTCCAACTAAAAACTAATTGTCCACTTTCTGTAGAAATATATGCTAAATTTCATTTGAATTAATAATTCCTTTAGAAATTTGTCATTCTCTGTGAGTAGACCAGCCTCTTCTAATCACTCTCTTCTTTATCATTATCCTCGCTCTAATAACATCTTAAGTAATTATTTACATGTTTGTCTTGTTGTTGTTATTATTTTTATCACTCTCTCGTATGTTTTGCTTTAATTCCATCTCAAACTACGAAATAAATGTTTATCATTATCGTTAACATTATTTTTTAGTATTATTACAACAGCACAATTTCATACTTATTTTCAGTTTTTCTTTAGCTTTTTTCTAATGGTCATGTTTTGAACATGTGTGTGTGTGTTGGAGATGTGAAATGAAAGTAATAAATTTATTTAATAAAAAGGGCGAATTGCAAGTTTTGGGTGCTAAAAGAAAAATTGTTTATTTTAGGTGAGTTTTAGAAATTTTGCTATTTTTATTAAATTTTTAAAAATTAGCTATTTTTAGTAAATTTTTTGAAAATTTGCTAGTTTTAGTAAATATTTGGAAAATTTGCTATTTTTAGTAAATTTTTGGAAAATTTGCTATTTTCAGTAAATTTTTGGAAAATTTGCTATTTTTAGTAAATTTTTGGAAAAGTTGCTATTTTTAGTAAATTTTTGGAAAATTTGCTATTTTTAGTAAATTTTTGGAAAATTTGCTATTTTTAGTAAATTTTTGGAAAATTTGCTATTTTTAGTAAATTTTTGGAAAATTTGCTATTTTTAGTAAATTTTTGGAAAATTTGCTATTTTTAGTAAATTTTCATAGTGTCTAGTCATAGTCTAGTCATAGTAGTCTAGTCATAGTCTAGTCATAGTCTAGTCATAGTCTAGTCATAGTCTAGTCATAGTCTAGTCATAGTCTAGTCATAGTCTAGTCATAGTCTAGTCATAGTCTAGTCATAGTCTAGTCATAGTCTAGTCATAGTCTAGTCATAGTCTAGTCATAGTCTAGTCATAGTCTAGTCATAGTCTAGTCATAGTCTAGTCATAGTCTAGTCATAGTCTAGTCATAGTCTAGTCATAGTCTAGTCATAGTCTAGTCATAGTCTAGTCATAGTCTAGTCATAGTCTAGTCATAGTCTAGTCATAGTCTAGTCATAGTCTAGTCATAGTCTAGTCATAGTCTAGTCATAGTCTAGTCATAGTCTAGTCATAGTCTAGTCATAGTCTAGTCATAGTCTAGTCATAGTCTAGTCATAGTCTAGTCATAGTCTAGTCATAGTCTAGTCATAGTCTAGTCATAGTCTAGTCATAGTCTAGTCATAGTCTAGTCATAGTCTAGTCATAGTCTAGTCATAGTCTAGTCATAGTCTAGTCATAGTCTAGTCATAGTCTAGTCATAGTCTAGTCATAGTCTAGTCATAGTCTAGTCATAGTCTAGTCATAGTCTAGTCATAGTCTAGTCATGTCTAGTCATAGTCTAGTCATAGTCTAGTCATAGTCTAGTCATAGTCTAGTCATAGTCTAGTCATAGTCTAGTCATAGTCTAGTCATAGTCTAGTCATAGTCTAGTCATAGTCTAGTCATAGTCTCTATAGTCTAGTCATAGTCTAGTCATAGTCTAGTCATAGTCTAGTCATAGCTAAACTATACTTGAATTTTCTAGTTTTTCTTAGATTCTCCCAATTTCTGTTCTGCTGACTTTTGATATAATTTAGGATACATTTCTTTGTAATTACATATAGGTACATAAAGACATATTTACAATAAAAATAAATTTTTATTCCAAGACAAAAAAAACTTTTATTACTTTAGGACACACTAACACGTTTAAGCATGTGTATGTGTGAGTGTGTCAAATTTAATGTTTATTAATATTCACTCTCCCCCAAACAATACTGTTGTCAAATGTCAATGACAGGCAAGTGTTTTATTATTATTTCTACCTAATGTTGTTGTTTTACTTTGGCTCATCATCACCAAAAAAAAACACCACTCACTTACACATTTGTAATGCAAAGAACAAACCCAAAATTAATTGTTTCTCAAAGACATTGATGCTGCTACACTGGCTGATGTTCTTGTGATAATAAATCTAATGTTGTTGTTGGTGGTGATGTTGATAATGGTCATTATTCTCTTTATTTTCATGTACAAATGTTGATTAAAAAAGCTAATGCTGATGATAATGTTAATTACAGATTATAATTAGAAATGAAATCATTCTTTTACTTCCGTTTTAGTTTGTGACACATTTTTTTATTGTTATTTGTTGTTGTGGTGGGCAATTTTTGGCAGCAAGACGAAAAAAAAAACACGAAGTAATAATAAAAGAAGTCTTTAATCAATTAGTGAGACATTGTGAAGAATAAAAAAAGACGAAGAAAAAATTCATACAATTTAATATTTCAGTCATTGAAATATAAAATGTTTGTTGGAGAGACGTTTGGTCTTAAGTCTAGCAAGATAAAGCAGGCAGGACAGTACAGGGTAAATGATTCAGTGTAAATAGAATGGTGATTGTTGTTGTTACTGCTGTTATTGCCGTGATGGTCGTGTTTGCCGTCTTTGACAAATTACATGAAAATTTCATTTGTATTCATTTGATTTTCGAGAACGCTCAAACAATTTATCAAATGATTGTTTGTGGCTGTAGCGTAAAAGATTGTGGAGAGGATGAATGCGGAAATTATGTATGATGATGACATAGTTGTTGATGAACAGCAAAATTATAATGGCATTTAATTGATAGACCGAGTTGTTTATTTAAAGAAAAAGTAGCGATAATGGAAATATATCTATAACAATCCTTTAATAACAAATTGCTACTTTAAAGAAAGAAAATTTTGCAGAAAGTTTACTAAAGAAAGCTAATTTTCAGAAAATTTTGTAAAGAAGCCAAATTTTGCAGAGAATTTAATAAAGAAAGCAAATTTTGTAGGAAATTTACTAAGGAAAGTTAATTTTTGGAAAATTTCCTTAAAAAAATAATTTTCGGTAAATTTCCTAAAGAAAGGAAATTTTTGAATAATTTCTTAAGCTAATTTTCGGAAAAATTCTTAACAATGAAAATTTTCGGAAAAATTACTAAAGAAAGCAAATTTTCGAAAATTTTTTCGGAAAAGAAACCAAATTTACAGAAATTTTACTGAAGAAAATAAATTTTGCAAAATGTTTGCTTTAGTAAAAAGCTGCTTAATATCCAAATTACCTCAAATGGAAATGCAATACATTTTTTTTAAATAAATATTTCCGGTAGAAAAAAATAAACGTATTACACGAACGTATCCATTCCGTTTATTTTTAACATAAAAACCTGGTGGCCTACACATACAAATAAATGAAAAGAAAACCTCTCCAATACAGGTAAACAAGCAATCAAGCGAAAGACACACACACATACATGCACAACATGCCCATAAAATGTCCATAAAAAGCCTTCTTATTACATTGTCCTGCGGAGCGTATGATCAATATTTAATTTTCTACTTCATTTACATATTTTTGTTTTCATATATGACAACGGTATGAGAGTTAAATAAAAAAAGAAAAACATAAATTGTATTTACTTCATGTCAATCTGGTTGTTGTTATTTTTTTATACATTATCCCTTTCATTTTTTATATGTTTTTATTTTCACCCTCCTTCTCGCTTTATCCACACACTTACCTGATTGCAATACTTTTTGATTTCAAATTATTCCAACGTTGATTCATTTCATCCAAACGACGCTGTAACATTACCGCATCTTCTTGGGAGGTGAGTGAACCCAAAAGTTTACGTCCTGTGCCATCGAGACGATCATAAACCACACGATGTGTTTCAATTTCCGATTGTAAATCCTACAAAAATAACAGAAAAAACGAGTTTTTTTATAAATAAATATAAATACATAATATAAGCAAAAAGTGAGGGGGGAAAAGGTATTATATGCAAAAAGAGGAAATGAATAAGGAATGATAAAAAATATATACACAACACATGTAGACTTGTGTGTTTGTATATAGAGTTGTTAACAATATATTGTAGATTTTTTTCTCTATAAATATATAAACATTATATGAGGACAAATAAACTCTATATTATGGTTTGTGTTTTTTATTCATAAATTGCCGCTACGTTTAAGAAAACAATATAATGAAAATTTCCAAAACTTTGTAACAAAACTAAATCTTTAATAACACTTAGGAACTATGGGGAGTATGAGTATTGCACAATATACAAATATTACTCATACTACCTGTAATCCCTAAGAAAATATGTTTTTCTCTAACTATTTTCTTTGTAGCTTATTTCCAATTCGTTCTCTTTTATCTATTAGTTTTTTTTAGATTTTTTTCTACAACTCTCTACAAACAACAAATTTATTCATAAGTACTTGTATTACAACAACAAACTACACATGTTTTCATTTATATAAATGCGTGTGAGAGCAGCAAGTATTTATTTACATAAATGTTAGTAGAAGAGAGTATCTGAGAATTTGGTAGAATAACAAGGAGGTTTTAACAGGTAAACAACAAGAGTTTGTATATGTGATGCTTTAATATAAACTTTATGTTTACGTTTATTTTAGTTTTGTACTCATTTCTGCAGTTTTGGTTGTTGTTGTTTTTGTTATTATTGCAATACAAACAAATCTAAATATTTTATTCGTTTTTTAAGAGAGGAATGGGTAACAGAGGTAGCAGCAGTAGAAAGAGTATGAAAACAGTATAAAAACTACTATGAATATGAACAAAACCAAATATGCAAATTAAAGTTGTGTTTTCATCAAAAAATTTATAACAAAATAAAATTTTTGTATAGTTTTTAGAAAAAGTACATTTTTTCTATTTCCATTATGGAATGTTTAGATTAACATATATAAACAAATTTTTGGAAAAGAAAGTGAAAACAATAGTGAGGTAATAACGAAAAACTACCGAAAACCTAAAATATAAACAACTATTGACTACTAACAACTAACAACTAACAACGAACTAACGTAACGAACTAACGAACGAAACGAACGAACGAACGAACGAACGAACGAACGAACGAAACGAACGAACGAACGAACGAACGAACGAACGAACGAAACGAACGAACGAACGAACGAACGAACGAACGAACGAAACGAACGAACGAACGAACGAACGAACGAACGAACGACGAACGAACGAACGAACGAACGAACGAACAACGAACGAACGAACGAACGAACGAACGAACGAACGAACGAACGAACGAACGAACGAACAAACGAACGAACGAACGAACGAACGAACGAACAACGAACGAACGAACGAACGAACGAACGAACGAAACGAACGAACGAACGAACGACGAACGAACGAACGAACGAACGAAAACGAACGAAACGAACAAAAAACGAACGAACGAACGAAAAACGAAACGAACGAACGAACTAACTAACGAACAACGAAGAACTAACTAACTAAACGAACTAACTAACTAACGAACTAAACTAACTAACTAACTAACAACTAACTAACGAACTAACTAACTAACTAACTAACTAACTAACTAACTAACTAACTAACTAACTAACTAACTAACTAACTAACTAACTAACTTACTAAATAACTAATAAATTTGCTACTTATAGTAAATTTTCGATAAATTCGCTATTTGTAGTAAATTTTCGATAAATTTGCTATTTGTAGTAAATTTTCGATAAATTTGCTATTTATAGTAACTTTTCGATAAGTTTGCTATTTATATTAAATTTTCGATAAGTTTGCCATTTATAGTAAATTTTAAATAAATTTGCTATTTTTAGTAAAATTTCTAAAATTTTGTTATTTTTAAAAAATTTTCAAAAAATTAGCTTTTAAATTTTCAAAAGTGTTCCTTTTTGTTGGTAAATTTTTTTCTTAGTACTTTTTCTGCAAAATTTGTTTTCTTTAGTAAATTTTTTGCAAACTTTGCTGTCTTTAGTCAATTTCCTGCCAATTTTGTATTTTTTGGTTAATTTTCTGCAAACTTTGCTTTTTTTAGTAAATTTTCTGCAAAATTTTCTTTCTTTAGTAAAATGCAAAATTGGTTTCTATTTCTACACAAATATTGAAACCTTTAATTATAACTCTTAATTATAAGTAATGTATTATTTATTAAAAACAAATTTAATATTTCCTCTGCTCGTCTTAATGACGTCAAAAAATAAAGCTAAATAAATCATGAGTTAAACGAAAAAGGGCAAGCAAAAACGCTAACGCTTAACATAATAAAGTTGAATGACATTTACTTCATTTTTGTTGTTTATATTTTTACTCATGTTGTTATTTTTTTGACATTTTGTGAACTCTTTTGTAATCTCTATGTTTTTGTTGTTGTTATTTGTTGTAAAACAAGCGTGTCTCTACCGTATGCTAGGGGCATAGGATGAAAATACATATTTGTATGAATGTAAGTGAATGTGTGAGAATGTTGTAAAAAAATACATGTGTATTGAAATTATAACTTTTTATGGGTCTCATGTGTGTTTGAACACAAATCGTATAAAAAATTCATGATGATTTTTGTTAAATATATGATTTTGTTTGTTGTTGTTGTTGCTATATTATGAAAGTTTTTTAATTAAGAATTTTTTTGTCGTCATATTTGTTAAATATTTACCCTATAGGATAACAGTTCATAAAGTATTTGTTAATGTTTGTTAGAGGTTTTTATGGTAACATATTTTTTCGTATTTTTTAGGAATATATTTATAAATATTATTTAATTTATTTCCACCCAAAGTATTTAATATTGTCCTTTTTCTCCTTTAAATTTTTGTAGCATTTTCTCCACTGTTTGTCATAAAATTGAAGCAGGTGTTTTAACTGTAACAAGGGATTTAGATGGCATTAGTTGAGTAACAATATTTCGCTTTTTTATCTTTTTTTTACCTCCATTACAGAAACAGTAAGAAAAGAAGTATAAAAACAACATTTTGAATAATGTCTACCTTTCATAATAAATAACATCTATGTTGCTAAACAGGAAACTGAAACGGTCTTTTACGAATGATTAAATGCCCATCTGGAAAAGAAATACGACAAGAAAAAGACTCTAACACAACATAATTTTCTATACAAAAAGTGAGTAAGAGTAAAATAAATTTCCTCTTTTTAATATGTTAAAAACCCTTTAGGTGTAGTAGGCAAACAAACTGACCCATTTACACAATTGGTAGGGACAAAAAAAAATGTATACTTTAATATTACTCATATATAATTGAAAATATTCTTAATACAACCGCCTTACTTTAGGCAATATTTTATGCAAATAAGAAATTATGAATGAAACTACTACAATCCTTAGAAATTAATATAAACATGAAAGCAGTCAACATTTTTTAGAAAAAAATCTTACTTTACATGAAACATTGTTATGCTTGACAAGCAACTTTTCTATAGAAAAGAAGCTGGATTGACAAGCAGCTTTTCTATAGAAAAGAAGCTGGATTGACAAGCAACTTTTCTATAGAAAAGAAGCTGGATTGACAAGCAATTTCTCTATAGAAAAGAAGCTGGATTGACAAGCAACTTTTCTATAGAAAAGAAGCTGGATTGGCAAGCAGCTTTTCTATAGAAAAAGAAGCTGGATTGACAAGCAATTTCTCTATAGAAAAGAAGCTGGATTGACAAGCAACTTTTCTATAGAAAAGAAGCTGGACTGACAAGCAACTTTTCTATAGAAAAGAAGCTGGACTGACAAGCAACTTTTCTATAGAAAAGAAGCTGGACTGACAAGCAACTTTTCTATAGAAAAGAAGCTGGACTGACAAGCAACTTTTCTATAGAAAAGAAGCTGGACTGACAAGCAACTTTTCTACAGAAAAGAAGCTGGACTGACAAGCAACTTTTCTATAGAAAAGAAGCTGGATTCACAAGCAACTTTTCTATAGAAAAGAAGCTGGATTGACAAGCAACTTTTCTATAGAAAAGAAGCTGGATTGACAAGCAACTTTTCTATAGAAAAGAAGCTGGATTGACAAGCAACTTTTCTATAGAAAAGAAGCTGGATTGACAAGCAACTTTTCTATAGAAAAGAAGCTGGATTGACAAGCAACTTTTCTATAGAAAAGAAGCTGGATTGACAAACAACTTTTCTATAGAAAAGAAGCTGGACTGACAACAACTTGTCTATAGAAAAGAAGCTGGACTGACAAGCAACTTTTCTATAGAAAAGAAGCTGGATTGACAAGCAACTTTTCTATAGAAAAGAAGCGGTTTGACAAGCAACTTTTCTATGGAAAAGAAGCTGGATTGACAAGTAACATCTCTATAGAAAAGAAGCTGGCTTGATAAGCAACTTTTCTATAGAGAAGAAGCTAGCTTGACAAGCAACTTTTCTATAGAAAAGAAGCTGGCTTGACAAGCAACTTTTCTATAGAAAAACATCTTGATTGACAAGCAACTGTTCTATAGAAAACAAATTTGATTGACAAGCAACTTTCTATAGAATAGAGTTTTGTTTTTCAAGCAACTTTAGATTGCTTAAATCCAAAATTAAATTTTATCAAATGAGAAAGTAACAAAATGTCAATAAAGAAATTGAAAAAAGATAAGTAAACAACAATTTTCCCTTCAAAACAGAATAACAACAAAAACTTCATCAGCAAAAACAAAACAGATGTGAGTTTTTAGAAAAATATTAAAAAAGTAAAAAAAAAAAAAACAAACACACAACAAGTACAACTTTTTTACAACAAAAATAAAAATTCGTTGAACTTTTACCCAAGTGACACTATATCAAAAACACAACATCTTGGCGATAACAAAAAAAAACAACAACTACAACAGAAACAAATAGAGGGTCCTTTAAGCAGTATAAAACTAACTAACACGCGTTCACAAACACAC